AAAATCTTGAGGGGAAAAAAAAAGCTAAAAAGCCAACAAAAATCTTGTTTTTACAGGGAAGATTTGACTTTTTCATACAAAGAAATGTAACCCCAAACTAGTACAGCATCAGAAAAAATCCTCTTTCTAATCCCTGTTGCCTAGCGACCAAAGGCTTTCCCATCTAAGGTAGGGGAAGAGGTGGTGTGATAATTTTGCCTAATGCACTGGAGGGTCATGAGCATTCATGTGTGCATATTCTTACAGTCTGTAAGGCTGGTTTGCTTCAAGACTGAATTGTTTGAATTTTTTAAAAGCTATTAAAGATATTGGCTTGCATCCTTTTAGGATGAAGTTTCAGGTGAAGTGTCCAATACATTCCCTTTCATTTAATTTTAGAATTACCGGAACCTGTTCAGCAGAGTGCCACAAGCAACACAGCTGGTCTCTGTGTTCTGCCACAAATAAAGCAACAGCTAAAGAATGAAGATTGTTACCATGGCAAATTGAACAGGAAAGCAGCAGAGAGCCTCTTAGTCAATGACGGGGATTTTCTGGTACGGGAAAGCACAACGTCACCTGGGCAGTATGTCCTCAGTGGACTTCAGGGAGGGCAGGCAAAGCATCTGCTCTTGGTGGATCCTGAGGGCAAGGTATGAATATTTCATGTAATGACATTTCAGTGCTGCTTAGATATTTCAATCAAAATGCATGGGTGCATTCCATGAAGTGGAAGTGATTTGTTTCTATCCGGGTTAATTTAAATATAGCCAGTGGCTACAGTAGGTTTGAAAGTTCAAAAACTCATAAACACTGAAGTACTGTGGAAGTAGCAGTGAGGAACTTAAATACTGTTAGTCCAGGTGCTGATAATTAGTGTATACACTTAACACATCCTGAGAACAGTTAGTGCTAGAAAAAAATAACCCTATCTTTAATTATTAATTTCTGGATACAAAAAAGGTTTGTTGTTACTTCAATTTTACTTTCTTCTGCTCAGAAGAGCAGTCTTGAGTGACATTTCTGAGGAGAGAGTAAATCAAAAAAGTAATCCTCAATGGGATTTAGGGAAAAATATCTCTCTTCTGTGGAGAAAAATAAAAGGTTATTTCTTTCCCCTGTGCATAATCAGCCCAGTTTGACATACAATCTTTTTACTTTACCACTACTTTTCTTGTGAGCTAATGGTGGTCCAAAGGATAGATCTGAATTGCCTAACAATCCTGCTCAAGTGAGTTCAGTGGTTTAAGTGACTTTTGATTTTAATATGTTAGCCTCATGTCCAACTGGTTATAAGAACAATCTAACCTTAAATATATTCTTTTGCTCCTTCCACTAGGTGAGAACCAAAGATCATATATTTGATAGTGTGGGTCATCTTATTCAGTATCACATGGAAAATAATTTGCCAATCATCTCTTCTGGAAGTGAAGTGAGCTTGAAGCAGCCTGTAAGGAAAGAGAGTAATACAGGACATACACAGTATCACAAATAATCCTTTGGATCTCACAAATCCCAAGACAATTCATACCTGAACTTTCTATTATGAAGACAAGTCAAAAAAGTATAGACTGCACTTTCTGCTGCTGTTCCAGAAGAAGCTCTTTTGTGTGTGTATGAATATATGTATATGTGTATATCTATGTAGATCTATAGAGATCAACAAGCATAGTTATATAGATACATATAATCTTAATCTTAACAAAATTACACCTTCAGAGTGTGAGATTCATTTGTGAGAAGGTATTTTAGACATGCACAAATGTCACTTTCAAGGTCATACTGAATCAGTAACTATTTAAAAGCACAATTAAAACTCTACATACAAAAGCTCACTTGAAAGAACTGCTGGAACATTAGTATGTGCCTTTTAGCATAGAATTATTGAAACCAATATTATTTATACTGAATTAGTTTTGGGTGGTTAAACAAACATGTCTATGCTTTTAACTATTTGCCAAAAACAAGTACAATTTGAATATTACTAAACTGTCATCTTCTTTCGATAGACACTAACAATTTCATTTTGCTTGTAACAGCACTTTACTAGCAAGTAATGTTTGAAATGAATGGCATTCACAATACAGAAAGGTTGTCCAGTTTCTTAATAATTTTTTGTCACTGTCTGACTACTCAAAGATTTGAGATTATGAACATTTACAAAGTTGAAATTAATATATGTAATATAATTTTGGAATAGAACTTGTTAAGGGACAAGCATGCTAGATCTTAATATTTTTGTCTTGCATATGATTTTACTATTATTATCACTTAATACTGGAAACATCTTTTTAAAGGTAGGCTAAATATATTTTCATTGATTACATAGTTGTTTACAAACTAGAAAAGCTGAACAAAACTAATACATTTTGGGAGAAAACTATTTAAAAGATGTTTGAACTTTGCATGTCTCCTTATCAGTGTTCTTTCCAAAACAAGATAGTTTTCCCCTCTTCACATAGAGTCCATTTGTTCCTAAACATGGAAAAATCTTTTAAAAGAAATCTATTAATTGTTTTGCCACAATAAATACTCTAAACATGAACAATCTTATATTCAGAGTGAACAGTGATTTATTTGGCTTCCTGTTGAAGAAACAGTGATTTAATAAGTGACTGGAGGAAGGCAGGGGAGATTTGGGGAATGAACTGGTAGTCCAGGTGATGGCCTGAGGGAAATGGTGCATTTCAGTCAAGCAATGTCCTCTGGCATGAACAGACATAATTCTCTCTGTCTCCCAGCCTGCCGGCTCAGTTCCTAAGGCAGACAATTGTTGTGGAGTTCAGCAGTTGCTGGAAACCTTCAACATAAAAGAATACATTCTGGTTGTTTGCCAGTGTTCATGGTAAATGGAGCACTGTAGTATGAGCTCTTTCCTCTAGAAAACAAGAGGAGAGGTCTTATAAAATTATGGAAGACAAGCTTCCTTGGAGGGGAAAATGTAATGTAAAGAGCCACACTTAGAGCCTACAAGAAAACAACTTCATTTTTTTTTATCCGCAGCTAATAGCCACAAAAATACACTTCATTCTTTGATAATAATATGATTAAACTATTCAATTACATACACTAAAGCAGTGAGAAGGTTTAAAGCATTAGTAGTTGATTTCCTTGCTAATAGTCTGGTATTTTTGATACCCTGAGCCTCCAGGGCTAGCAGCCCAAACTCATGCCCATTCTATCCTAAGCAAGCTGCTCACCTGTGAAGGCCTCCAGCAAGAGCTCATGCTGGAGCTTTGTGCCATGGCAAGAAACTGTAACTGGGATATCAGCCCCTGCAGAATATCCTTTCTATTCTCACACCTTGTCAAACTTCAGAATGTGTTTGATATGACTACGGAGCAAGCAATGAAGCAAACCCAGCTACTTCTGTGGCATGTCAAGTGGAGAGAAAGATCCGTTCTGATTTTTGCATCAAAGCTGAGTTTTATGACAGGTCATAGAAGGGAAATGTGCAGAACTCCACCTCTATTTTTAGTACAAATCAAAGTTACTCAGGACTTAAATAAAAACATTGGGAGCTGTGCTAGTATGAGATCAAAGTTTCTTGACTTTGCCAGTCAAGATGCTGACTCAGGGACTTTTTTCACTTCATCAGTTTTCACTTCACCAGTGAAGAAGATCAGCCAGAGCCAGTGTGTGATGTATATCACAGTATAATGCAGTGTCTCTCTCTCTGAATATCACCAATGTAAAACGTTTAAAAGACCTGGATCTTTGTTCTGATGCTCCTGCATATTTTTATGTGTCTGAAGCAGAACTGTGAAGTAAAAAGAAAGGAAAGAGAGATAACTGGGTGCTAGAGGAATAAAGAGGTATATCAAAATCTTTTGATGTGGGAGAAAGCAGATAATCCAACTAATTACAGATAAAAATCAAACACAACACATCCATGCATTTTCCTAGAATCAACTACATTCATTCTCAGTTTTTGGTTTCTAGCATTTACATGCCTTCATTTAAGCTGTTAATGCTGCTCTGTGGCCCAGCTGTCTCATGTAAAATACAATGTCAGCTCCTCTGTGGAGATCTGAGGAATAATCATGCTAAAAAGAAAAGTAAGTTGTCTGAATTTTGGAAAGTTTTGTAAATATTTTTCTTGAGAAACTCAATGTGAATTGTCAGACACATTTAAACCCTTTTTGTTCTTGTTTGAATCATTTAATGCCTGTAATAATTATGAGACTTTATTAATCTCTGTTTGAATGGTTACTAGAATCCTCTGGGAAAATTGGCTGATTTTGCCTATAATGTCGCACATTTACTAGACACATCATGCTCGTTCCTTCTCAAACTTCCATAAATTTCACTGAAACACATGAACTGTTGGCTCCCATCAATAAAAATCCTCTAACAAATGACCCAGACGTCTCTGCCCGGGGGTCCTTTCCCGCTGTCGGGGCTGAGGGCGAGGCACCAGGTGGGGCTGTTACAAACGGAACCACCTCTCCGTCAGAATGGCTTCCTGCCCGCGACTCCGCGCAATCAATCTGCTCCTTCTGAGGAGGTTTTAACTTTTTAAAGAGAACGAGGTGGGGGAGCGGAGCGGATCCCGAGCAGCCGGGCGCAGGCTGCCCGGGAAGGGCTGGGCCGGCCGCGGTCCCCGCGCCCCCTCAGCGCCATGGCGGCCCCTGACGTCACCCCGCGGCCGCGCGTTGCCCGGCGACCGCCACGTCCCGCTGCGAGATGGCGCCGCTGCCCGCCCGCGGAGACCCCGCCCCTCCACCAAACTCACGCTGCCATTGGTGGCCAGCTCAGCCAATCAGCTCGCCAGGCGCGTTCCCGCGACCATGCGCGCCTGCTTTCAAACAATCAGTGGGGGCGGGTCCGCCCTCCCGCGCGGCTGGGCGGGCTCTGGGGCTGATTGGTCTCCGGGGCTGTCAGTCAGCGCCGCTCAGGGCGGTTCTGGCCGCGGGTTGGTGCCCGGGGCTGTCAATCAGCGCCGCTGTGCCATGCGGAAGCGCGGCGGGCGCTGTGAGGGCGGGTGGCCGCGGCGCCTCAGGTGGGTTCCGCTGCTCGGGCCGCGCTTCGCCGCCGTCCGCGGCCCTGGGGCCCCGCTGAGCAACGGCAGCATCGCCCCGCGCCGCCGTCGCAGCGGGCTGAGGAGGCGGCGCCGAGCTCAGGTGCCCCCGGAGCTGCCCCGGCCCGCCCAGGTGCGGCTCCGGGCCGGTCGCGGCTCTGGGGGCTGTGCGCTCTACAGCCGGGGCTGGGGAGGGCCCTGAGGAACGGGGACAGGGCCGGTGGTCGGTGTGGGGGAAGCGGGAGCCTCGTGTGAGGGGTCACGGGGTGCACACAGACGGGGCTGCGTTGTGAGGCCTCCTGCCCGCTCTGAACAGCAGTGTGCAAGAAGGTCCTTTAAACGTGATGAAGTGACTTTAAACGTGGAATTAATGCTCTTGTAATGTTACATTATACCAAGTGAGGACTTCAGTATGTGCTACACCTGTGTCCCTTCGACAGGGAGTAAGTTATGCTGTAACCAAGCGTGGAGCAGCACTCACACACAGCAGCTTTCTGCGAGCACACTGCTCAGTGCACACAGGCTCCTGGGAGTCAAGGCTCTCTTCTTAAGCCGTGAAATCTGCAACTCCTGTGATCCTTTTCAGATTTCCGTGATACTTTCCCTATTTTTCCTTTTAGAGCTGTTATATAGCATACTTTCAGTTTTTCATACAAAATGTAGTCATTCTCTAGAAGACTGCTGAGCAAGATACAAAAGAGGACATAACTATCATCATGTAGCACATCATATGTGTACTATACAGTACTAGAACTTGCAGAAAATAATGTCTGATTGTAAGTGAACTTCAGAAATTATCTTAAGTCAGCCCATGAAAAACCCAAATACTGGTTTTAAGTGCTAAATTTTTGGAAGTGAGTAGGCTTGGATATATGAGAAACAAATAATGTGTTTTCATGCTAAGTAATTCAGATGATGAGGGTGGTGCTTTTTGATTCCTCATGTGTTTTGCTCAGGTGTGATGTTTTCCTGTCCTGCTGCAGGTTTTGCTGGATACGCCAAATCAATATTAGAAAACAATGTCCCTTGACTTTGATAGTGGAGCTCTACAAACTCAGCACGAAGATGAAGACTATGACCAAGAAGATTATGCAAGAGAGCAAGAGGTGAAAAATAATTAAGTAATTTAATCTGAAGGCTTGTGAGTTTAGCTTCTTCCTATCTTTTAAGCACAAAAAAAAAAGAAAAAGGTTTATGTAGTCTGGTAGGAGCAAAGAGGGTGCAGACTGTGCCACTCGTGAAAAGCATGAGAAGTGAAGTTGGGGTGGGTTTTAGTTGTTTGTTTGTCCAGTTGCTTGGCCCAGAGCAGAGCACCAATCATTGCAGTGATGACTTCTTGAATGTGGTGATACTGACTGCCAAGTTCTTATCTGGATTTCCATCCAGACTTCTGAGAAAGAGCATGCTATGGGTGTCTACTGCCTCTCTAGCCTGGAGTTTAGAGAGGAGAAATCCTGGCATCTTCAATTTGCAGCTGATTCTTTGACATTAGTCTGTCCTGGGACATGTCTATTTGATGGCATTTCCCTTACCTCTTTCTGGTGCAGCTCTTCTCTTAACAAGAGTTTGGCAGAAAAGTGCTTTGGTTGGTAGTCTAGTCTGGTAAGCATTCTGTGGTAAAAGTCTCTTTGTGAATTCCAGTCTTGTGAATTCTTCCTTGGAGGAAGAAAACCAGGATTTTGTGCAAATGGCCCACTTTGCCAGTGTTTATGGTCTGAACTTGTATGAATTTTCCTGCAGAGCATGTAATGAATGTTGTTTGTTCTATTTCAGTTGCAACAGTTGTTGACAGATCTTCCCCATGATATGCTGGAGGACAGTGGAGACCAACTCTCCAGTTACTCAGACTGTAGCATTCAGGAGACTGAGGAGCAGTAAGGCATTTGGCACCATCTTTTTATTATTTGTGTTGTGCTTTCAAGAATAGAGCAAAGTCTGAGTTGATGAGGAGTGTAAAAGTAATCCAAGTAAAAGGGGAGCTGTAGTGCAATTTGCAGTAATGTGCCTCAATTTAACAAAAGAAGGTTTGTTTTTTCCCTGAAGTTATTAGTACATGGTTAAGCTGCTTGTGTCTCTCTAGGTCACACGAGCCTGGGAAGCTTGATGGAAGGTGGAATGATCATCCACTGATCAGTGATCCTCCAAATGTAAGCTTGTATGAGCAGGAATGCATTTGCTGCTTGTTCATAATAACATGCTGAATGTTGTTTAAATTCATTAGAGAAATCAGTGTAGGTGACGTGTTTTGGTGTTCATTTGAAGTATTTCTAATTTGAGGGCTGGTAACCTCAGGAAAAAGAGGGTGGGGTGAAATCTGAGTTTTAGGATTCTAAACCTCATATCCATTCATAGGGCTATGAACAAGGACAAAATCTGTACCCTGAACAATTCTTGTGTGACCAGCAAACTGATCATGTTGAAAAACATGGGAAGAATTGGAATGGCCTACATAATGATGAAGAGAAGAAACATTTATATGATGTTAAAGAAGATTACTGTGGCCAGGATGGCCAAGGTGCTCCAGATAATGTGTATCTTGGTAGAGATGGGTTTAACTCTCCAAGTTGCTACCAAGAGAACAATATGTATCATCTTCCTGAAAACTTCAGGCCTTATACAAATGGCCATAAACCAGAATTTAACAATCAGCAAAATAAAATATTAAATTTTTCAGATGATCCAAAGGAACATATTAAGGTATTTTAGAAGCTGACACATTTTTCTATCTCTTGGAAAATTTTCACAAGACTTTAGCTATTGATAGTAATATTTGTAAATGTCTTCAGTCTCTTCCAATAATTTCAAACAGTGATGGGAGGCTTCTGTAGCCTGTTTAAAAAAATGAGACATTAGTAACTAAATTTTCATATGTTCATGTTATCATTTTTGTTCTTTCTCCTGTTGCCTTGGTAGAATTCCATGAGGTAGAATGAATGTGATTCACTTAATTGCGTGCTTACTCTGTTTAAGTTAATACTTCACTACTTTTCTAAGGTGGAAGCTTTCATGAAGAATTTTATCATGCTTAAATGGTGTTCTGGATTGGAGTCTGAAAGTGAAGGGCTACTAGAGCTCTTCTTAATGTCAACCTGTAAAATGAAAGATATTTTCACTGAGCAAGAGTACAGTTTAGTTTTAATGTATTTCCTCTTATGTATGTATTGTCATCTCTACAGCAGTTTGTTCCATCTGATGTTGTCAATGGCCAGTCACCAGAATCTTACAAAGTGACTTATAAACCCTACCAAAATGGCATTCATCAAAATATTCCAGGAATCCAAGAAGGAAATAGAAGAAATGAAGTGTTTGAAGGTTTGCAACATGAATTCTTGGGCAATGATGAAAGTAAGTGTTTGGTGCTTAGATTTAAAATAAACTGATGTAAAATGTTCACTGGAAATCAGCAAACATGTTGATTTCAATAGTTTTTCAGTAAGAGGACAATAAAATGATTTTGAAGTATAGAATCTTTTATATCTAGAAATGATCTCTTTTTGCTGGGGGTATATGAGTTTTGGGCACTGAAAATGTAGTTTTGATTGATGAAACTGAAAAAGTATTTCTGATGGCTTGATGTCAAGCCTTGTTGACATTTTCTGTCCTTCATAATATTGGAAAAGAATGACTCACTGTACCTTAGGAAGTGCACTCTGAGTGATGCCACATCGGGCTTTTCTGTTAGATACACTTCAAATGACAGAACTACTTTGTGAGACTTGTTGTAAACTTGTAGTGGCCACAAGTCTGAGAGTTCACAGCAGGAAACTTTTATCTGAGCTTGCTGTAAGGTTGGAATTGTACTTTGCACACAATCCTTCAGCCATTGCTGCCAGAGCAATTTGTGTGATGCAAATCAAATGTGGATAAAAAAAAGATTTTGTGCACCATCAATGAACTTAGCACTATTAAAAAAAAAGTTTTGGAGCAGGAATTACAATGATGATTTCTTGGTATCTGTGCTCACTTGTCTGCATGCTGTTTGAAATTTGGCAGAGTCTTCAGAAAATATGCAGATTCTTCAACTTCAAGTTCTAAATAAAGCAAGGGAAAGACAACTGGAAGAACTTAATGAAAAGCTAGAAAAGAGTGCACAGCAGATTAGGTATTTGAATCATCAGCTTTCAATGGTCAAAGGTAAGGTGCTCCCTGCTGCCAGGAGGACACAGGGGTTGCTGGATGGAGACTGAATGGTTTTGTTCAGTCTTCTGTTGTTTTCCACAGTACAAGGCAGAGTGAATGGTTCTGTAGAGCAGGGACTGAACAGTCGTGTTGCATGAAGCTCTTGGGTGGCTGGCCATGGTGCTCACACAATGATGTCTCTTTCTTCAGATGAAAAGGATGGTTTGGCTCTTAGTCTTCATGAGTCTCAGAAACTCTATCAGAATGGAAAGGAACGGGAAATGCATCTTGAAGGCCAAATCAAGGCCCTTGAAACTCAAATTCAGACTCTTACTACCAATGAGGAGCAGGTATTGTAAATATTTTTAGATTGTTTATTGTGGAAGACCTCTACAGTTCAATGTGTGGTGCATTAAACAGAAGTGCTAGTCTCTTGAAATGCTGGTCATGATTATTACAAAAGCTAAATACATGATGGATGGATAGGATTCATTGGTTGAAAATACTGTGTATGAATACACAGGCATCATCTGAGGACTTGTGGCAACTTTTGCACAAAAGAAATGAACTGATGTACAGAATACTGGAGCAACAGTGAAATGTATGTAACTAGGAGCTACTGTCCTACTGTTCCTACAGATTCTGAAGCAATCCAAAGTGGCAGAGGTGGCCATGGAGAGCATGCAAAAGCAGCTGTTAGAACTTCAGAGATCAGATGCCCTCCAGCGAGCCAGAGAGCAACACGAGGCCATTATTTCTGCACTCAAGCAGAAGTATGAACAGCAAGTATTGTCATTAGAGCAGAAACTTGATACTGCACAATCTGCACTCCGAGAGCAGGTGAGAAATTATTTTAGGATGCTGAGTACTGTACTGGGGACACTGTAGAGCTCCCCATGTTTCCCAAACTGCATTTCTTGACCTACAGTTCTAATAATCCCTTCTGGAAGCTGCTAAGAAAATGGAAAGTCTCAACATTGAGGCCTATGTGGTATGTTTTTATAAACATCTGCAGGCAGTTGTAAGTTCAAAATGTGAGTTTGTAAACAGCAGATGTAGAGGAGGCAGGAATTCATTGGCTTAGTTGCTCTCCTGAGCTTTCCTTCTGTGTGCAATCTTTTTTTGAAGGAGTTCTGCAAATAACTCTGGGAAAGAAAAGGACTCATTAAGAAATAATGTGATATTCTTGCAAGAAAAAAAAACAGGAGAAACTTTTTATTGAATAGTCTGTTGCCAAGATTTGGTCTCAAAATGCTGAAGGATGACTAACCCCTCAACAGTGACTTTATTTTAGAAGTAAGGATTTGAGAGTAGAGGAGGTGTAAAAGGCTGTCTTTAAGATGGAGTTTGATATAGATTGTATTACATGGTTTCAGAGCTTACTGAAATTATTCCACTTGATATGTCATAAGAATCCATTCCACTATTAGAAATATTCAAGCAGTGTATTCCAGCCAGGTCTTAATAAATTTTCCTTTTATTTCACATAAAGGAAATAAAATTAAATTTCTCTAAGTCTTGTCTCAACATATAGAAATAGATGGGTTGTATACTTGGAAAGGTAACTGGTGCTTGCTTCTAAACAAAATGCACTCCTGAATTTTTGTCTGTTAGTACCACAACAAAGCTTATAAAACTTTGTCTCTATTGTAAAATATATGGTAGCATTTCTGGGGTGTTTAAAGAGGGAGATCTGTTTTTTGAGAGAAGATAGAAAAGTCAAAAGGTGTAGATATGCAGCACTGTGCCTCCCAGGTCTGTGTAGTTAACTAAGTAATGCCATATCAATGTCTACTTTGTACATCCTGTGAAAAAGAAACTACAGTTCCTCTGTTACACAGTATTGGCACTTGCTTGGCTTAAGCTCAGTTAAAATAAACTGACTGGCTTGATATCATGTGAAGGCTTGATTTTTTTCTGCAGTAGACTAAGTGTATGTGATTAATTACAGGAGATAATCTGATGTGCTGAAAAGTAACAGCTCTAGGAAATATGAAATGATTCTCATCCATGTATGTTTATATATGAGTACAATTACTGCCTCCCAGTGAAACTGAACTTTGATGCTGTAGGAGGTCACTTGTTAGCCAAGGATAGTGTTTGATCTGTGTTTGATTTAGCTCTCCTCTACCCCTTTAGGTATCTGATTGATTATTTTTCTCCTTTATCCTGTATATATTGAATTTTTCTGTATCTGAAACAGTTCTAGATGTAAAATGAGTAAGAATACTTTCTTCCTAGAAAGAGCTTTGCAAAAATCTAGGAGAGCACGTTAAGCAACTTGAAAAAATGCTGGAAGAAACCAAATGTGAGAAAACTGAAATAATAAATCGACTGACAAGAAGCCTAGAAGAAAGCCAAAAGCAATGTGCAAATTTACTGCAAACAGGTCAGCCTTTTACTCATATTATTCCCTTTCCTTGCATATCTTCATTTTTTCTAAATATTAAATTGCATATTGATGTTTCTATGGAAGTGGGATCAACATCAGGCTAATTGTGTTCTAGACTGTTTCCTATGCAGTGGATTAGTCAGACTGAAAGTTCATTCTAGACTAAGATGTAAAAACCAAATAGAAATAAAAGTAAACATCATCTCCGAACCCCAAACAACAGTGATTAACATGTTTTCATATGTATTTTGTGTTGCATATGTGTAAACCTTGTTTCATAGTAAACAGGGTTTGGATGCAAGTTACTTAATTTTGTATTGAGGTGCTTGACTTGAATTGTCATTCTAAATTCAAGTCCTAGTGAGAAGAATTGTTTTAGGAGCTGGAGGCTGATTCTTGGAAACCTGTATCATAGAAATAGATTGTGAAATGTTTTGCAGTTTGTGTGTTTGACTTTTGCCTACCTTCACACATTGAAGTCCTTTGATAGTAATGTATTTAGTAGCTGTTAGTGAGCTCAAGAAAATAGAAACAGTGATGTCTATTGCCAGAATCAACACTGCTATTTTTAACAGAGATTTTTTCTTCAGATTGCATAGACTTTCTTGCATATTTATCACTGCTCTTTTTCTCCCTTCTCTTTCCTACAACAGGCTCAATGCAGGAGACAAATCAGTTACGGTTTCAGTTGCAGCAAGCTCAGTCTGCACAGATTATAAGCAACAACATGAACAAGGCTTTGCAGGTTCATTTTATTGAATATTTTGTGTTTGAATAAAATGTTTTCATTAGATGGGGGTGGGGAGAGGCATTGTAACTAAGAAGTTGGTGCTTGAAACACTTTAAATTTTTGGAGGAAACAAATACATCATCTTTGACTGCTTCCTCTCCCAGTGTTGCATGTTGGTCGTCCTCCCTCCCCACCAATTAAAACACAGTTGGGCAATTGTATTGGCACAAATCTGATCTCATACTTCTGTCCAACCTGCTTTTGGAAAAAAAATTGAATGTAAATTCTGTGTGCTTGGAGTCTTGTAATTTAATGAGGAGATACCATGTTATGAAATTTATCTTTTGTCAGCAAAATGGAATGCTACAAAGTCCTCTGTAAAGCATCAGTGGAAGTCTGTGTTTCCAATTCATATATTTGATTTAAATCTGTTGTCTTGGAAACTGTGAATCCTATTAAGTCCTAGAGTAATAGCTGTTTCTCCAGGTATGTGCTTTTCTGTTGTCATCCATTTTGCTATACAAGGACAGCAGGAATGCAGAAGAGCAAAAGAAATAATACTTCATAGATGGACTGTTACAAGAACAATACGGAATATTGCTTCTGTATTCTAACAAATTTTTAGTTTTAATATATGCTTTGCTAGAGGTATCAGAAATGAAAGATGAAAGTATAAGTAAGTTAATGCTAGACAATTCACCTAAATGCAGATAAATATAACTATATTTAGAAGGAAGAGCTCCATGTGTTTATTTTCTTTGGTAGAGTTATCATGGCCTGATATGTTGGCTTGGAGTCTCTCTGGTCAGTGTAATTTTTTTTCTGTCTCTTCCTTTCAGGAAGAATTAATGGAACTGAAAGAAGAAATAGCTTTGTATGAATCTGCTGCCAAGCTTGGAGTGTTTTTGAATGATGCAGGTGGAGAGCAACCTATGAGCCTGGGTGATTCCTATGTAGAACTGGGAATTAAAAAAATCACAGGGAAGAAGCCAAAATTCTGCAGGTATTGAGTGATTCTTGTTGAAAGAAAAATTCTAAATCCTCAAGCAATTATGCAAATTATTTGCAAAGAGGGTTCTACTGGATCAACACATAAGTTTTTGATAGATATTTGAAATACTGCTTGTATTGCCAGGTAGTCTGAGAAACAGAAACTGTACTAATACCATAAATTTGTTGCCTAATTAATAAATATTGGTTGCTAATTAATAAGTCTTCAGATTTGTAGGGACTATGTTGCTGTTCCTTTAATTGTTGAATTATATTCATGGATACTTTTCTTGCTCAAAGCTCCACATAGTTGCTTAAAGCTAAAGCTGTCTTTTACATCAACCAGTTGAGTTGCTTCAAAACCCTCCACATAGGGTGAGAATGAATCTTTTGAGGAAACAGCTGAATTAACAAGTTCTCTGTAAATTAATTGCAACTTAATGGAAAAGCTTTGATATTCATATCCTCTTATGCTTTTTACTATTACATCTTAGACATCCTGGTATTTCTGGTAGCATTAGTTACTCTTCTCTTTGCTGCCACAGACTTTGAGCTACATAATTTTTGTTTTTTAAATACTGAATGGTTATGTCTTTCCTGATAGTGCAATACAGAACAGAGACATGGAAAAAGAACTCTCTAAAGATGAAATTATTGTAGAATTAAAAGCTGAGCTGGAACGTTTATTGAGCAGTAATAAAATGAAGAGAAACCAGATTACTCAACTACAAAATAATCTTAAGGATTGCCAGAAGACACTAGAGGAATACAAGCAGTTGAAAGCAGAAAAAGCATCAAGAGATTCAGAGGTTTGTTCTTTTACATTTCTTTAAAAGTAAAGTATTCCTGGTTTTTGGTGAAGAAAACCAAAACTTCTTATGAGAATAGATAAAAAAATTATGCATAGTTGAGTATTCATAGCAACTCTGGTTTTGTATCTTTGTTTGAAAAGAAAACAACTGAAGCAGAACCTGGGCAGCCTATGCATTATTAAGTGAGTCCTAAAATGATGACTTAGATGCTTGAGAGTGCCTGTGTCTGCCCTGCTTGTGTTAGAAGTAAGTTTCATTGGAAAAAGATGGTTTTCTTTAGCCAAAAGGACCTTGTAATTTCTGCAAGAGAGCTGATACTACCATTAGGTTATACATTCAGAACATTTAACAGATTGCCTTCAGAGGGCCTTGACAGGTAATTTGATCCATAAGGAATCTCCTTGATATTGCATCTCTCTTCACTCCATTATTGCCTTCCCTGTGTGGATTGATCAGATTGTATCATCTGTGCATGGAGACCTGGATGTGGCATAGAGTACAATGTATGTGGGAAGTGTGCTCTCTGTTGGATGACTGTTGTCATTCAGCTTGCAAACACAGCACTGAGTGTGTGCTTCTGCAAAGCTTCATGATACTGAGTTTTAAGAATTCATCTAGAATAGCAGTGATTCTGTGATCTTGCAGTGCAATAATTTCCCGTGTTTTTTATTTTTTAAGTACAATTTTTATTCGACAACTCTGAACTTTTTAAAGCATTAACTGCTAAATCATTTATGTATTGAAAGATATAATATTAGTTTTATTTATTCATAGCCTGTTACAAATTTGAAGGATGCTTCTGATAATCTAAAGGAAGAAATTCTGAGACTCAAAAAGGCTAATGAAGCTTTGCTGCAGGAAGTTGAGGTAGGACAGAGATGCTGCTTACCACTACAGAAAAAAAAAAAGTCACAAAAAACCCCCACCCCATGCTAAAAGTCATGATTAGAAAAGGTTCTTACAACTCCATATTACTTGACCCTTCTTTGTCCAGGCCCATACTTCAACTATTAAAGAACTGAAGGAAAATGAGGAAAAACTGAAAAGCTTAAATCAAGACCTCTGTTGTGAGATGAGAAAGATGGTTCAGGAGTTTGATCATGATAAGCAAGAAGCCATTGACAGGTAATCTGTTAACTTAGTTTAGTTTAATTTGTGGATTTTCACCCTGCACACATAATCTTGTTCCAGCTATCAGGTACAAGAGGAGGTCAATGTTTAAAGGTATTTTCTTACAGAAAACTTGAACCTAGGTTGTTGAAATCAGGTAGTTATTTTTCCTTTCTTGGAATTGTAGGTGTGAAAGAACTTACCAGCAACATCATAAGGACACCAAAGCACATTTTGAGAAGGAGCTGATGGAGAGGTTTGCTGTAGAAAAGCAGCTGCTTCTTCAAACTTCTGAAGAGACAGTCTCGCAGTTAAAGTAAGACTTAGCATTATTTCCATTTCTACTGAAACTTTCACGTTTCCTGTCTAACCTTCACTGCTAGTTACATTTATTTTAAAGCTGCTTGCTGTTCTCCGAGGCTAATTGATAATAAGTAATCTGTCATTTGAAGGGATAACATAGAGGAGCTGAACAAAGAGATTACGGCAGTGAAGGAATGTTACATTGGAGTTTGTCAGGAGAAGGACACCTTGGAAACTACTTTAAGACAGAAGTTTCAACAAGAGCAGCAGCTGAAGGAAGAGAAGGTACAAATGGAATTGCCTATAAACCATATAATTCAACTCTGTTTTCAAGATGTAATATTAATAAGTGTATTAATTTTGTAAATATTAGTAGAACCTACTTGGAAGAGATACAGCTGAATCAGAAAGCTCATACACAGGACTTAGTGGTTTTTAAATTAAGCTGGTGTTGTGTTCTGGGCTTTGAAATACAAGTACAAGTAACTCTTTCCAATAACTGTTTGTTTTCATGTAGTGAACTTCCATAATTGTGACTTCTGAGGATGCTTAGTCAGCAGTATGAGCTTTTACATTCATAAGACACTTTCAAAAAACCCTGAATGAGGATACAAGTTTACTTCTCCCTATATAAAACTGATCTAAAAAATACTGTGTTTTTTTAAAGTAGTAATGAATTCAGACTGATTTGATTTAAATCTTTGCTTTTCTGAAGATATTAGTGTGCAATGACTGAAGTAGATCAACTGTCTAGGTAAGCAAGAGGTGCAGCTCAAAGTATGATGGGAGTAAAGATGCTTGATACAAAAACTTACTTTACAACAATAGCCTATAATAACCTCTGATATAATATCTTAAAACACCTTTTTTGACAGTTAAATCTCTTGTCTAGGTGTCATCTGTAAGATCAGTGCACAGCCTCTAGAGAGTTAATCACGTCTGTCGTGCATTCTTATAGTTTTGTACCAAAGCCGTTGTGCCTTGGAGAATATTTCATTTATTTATTTTTGGTCTAGCTCAAGAAACAGCTACTAGAAGAAAAGGAACTCTCCCTTAAACTTCTGAGGACTGAGCTTGAAGAGGAACACATCAGGTCCATGAGAGCAGCAAAGAAGCAGTGGCTGGAAGAGAAAAACCAGCAAGTTCAAGAAGAAGTTGCATTAGCCAAAGTTCGCTGGGAAAAGGAAGAAAAGGAGGTGTGGAACTTAGATCAGGGAATTTCAATGTTATTGTTGTTTTGCTGTTTATTTTCAGAAACAGAACTTTAGATTTATGTACTGTTATTCTGTCATTGGAATTGGCTTCCTTTTTAAGGATTTGTCATTTTAAAAGCCTCTGAAGGAGTCATTAGGTATTACACATTTCATATTTTTAAAGAAACCCAAAACCTAGATCTTGCAAAGTATCAAACAGAATACCCTGGATGTCACAGCTGGTAGTATGCTGGAGTTTTCCACTGTGGTGCTTGAGTGAAAGTTATGCTTTCTGTTGGTTCACTCAGGTATCATGTAGAAATCCTTTGTGTAACCTATCCCATAGGAGAAAGCTCTGAGTCCCCAAACCTCTCCTCTCTGTACATGGTTCTGTCCTTCTCCTGTTAAGGAGGATCATCGATGTAAACAGTGTTTCATTTGCTAAACACCAGTGAAATCTGTTTATTTAGACACTGGGGAGATTTTCTTAAAAAATTTTTTTTTTTCTTAGAATAAAGAACAAGTCTTTGCCAAATTAGAAAGAGAATGGCAAAGTAGGCTGGAAGAAGTGAGAAGAACTGTAGCTGAATATAATGACTGCAGTTGCCAAACTGACCAAGTTGTGGATGAAGCTTCAGCAAAAGAGTTAGAAGGGGCTGCTGAAGACCAGAGGGTGCAGATCCAGAAGGCTCTGAAAGAAAATGCAGCCTCTGAAGAGGCCTTAAAAGAATTTGAATTAGAACTGGAAAATAAATACTGTAAAAATCTTGCCAGCCAGGTAACAAATAATTGTTCTGTCTGCCTGGAGTCTGTGAAACTGCTGTGTCCACTTAAGTCACCTAAAAAAAAAAGAAAGTGGACTCCTTCACTAACTTCCTATTAAGTTTAGTATTGATATTTGCTGTATTAGAAATAGAGTTCTTAAAAAAGTTCTAAAAAACTGTAGCATATGATTTGTTTTTCACACTGTTAAACAAGTTTTGTAGGAGTTTTGAACAGAACTGAGCAACACTGCCTTAGATTTTATATAATTTTGTTAAAAATAAATTTAGTATTTTTAATTTTGGCATAATTTTTGCATCAAATGCATGAAGTGCTGCTGGTCTGATTCTTTTAATTTCTATAAACATGGGCAATCCAAACTGAAATCTGTTCTTGCACTGTTACATGAAAGTAATAATAAAAATGTATTCAGTGTACCTACCTACCTACTGAAGCAGGTTTTTTATCTGTTTAAAGGTAGATGCAGCTTTAGCCCAAGCTCGTGCCAAGTGGCTGCAAGAGTACAAACTAAAACTAAAGACAGAACAAGAAAAATGGGAAAAGGAACACCAAAAGACTACAGCAGAGCAGGTAGCCCAAAATACTGCTATATGTGAGTTGATAAACAGTGAAGTCTTCAAATCCCATTTATTACTGAGGGATGAATGTAGACATAGGCACAGGGAGTCACTAAGGAAAGATGTTTGTTGGGTACTCTGCTCCACACTGGTTTTTTGCCTATATAGGTTTAATTTTTATTAAATAAATTGAAAATATCCCCAATGGATTTTTAATGACTCAGAGTTACATTTTGTGTATCTATGAATGTGAGTATATATTTCTAATGACTGTGTTGTTTATTTGCCAGTTAGCCCTGGTTCTCTCAGCTGCTGAGGAGAAATGGAAGAAAGAATATGAAAGTACAGAGACACCTGCACTAAGAGTTAAAGAACTTGAAGAAAAGATAATTTCTTTGAGGAGGGAATTGGAGCTAAAGAATGAGGAAATCCCTGCAGCTGTCAAAGCAGAAGTAGCAAAAGCCCGTGTGCAGTGGAACAAAGAAAAACAAGAAGAAATTCTGCAGATACAAGAGCAAAATGAGAGAGACTACCAATCATTCTTAGATGATCATAGAAACAGAATTAAAGAGGTCCTTGCAACAGCAAAGGAGGACCTTGCAAAGCAGAAGAACGATCTCTCCATGCAGAAAGAGGCAGAAATCAAGATGTTACTAAGCCAAAAGCAGCGAGAATGGGAGGCTCAGGAAGCCAAGAGACTGCAGGATGAAATGAGTCGGTATGAGGAGAAGACTCTGGTTGAGCTGGAGTATTTGTTGAGTGAAATTCATGAAGAACTGGTCAAGTGCACACAGAGTAAACATTCTTGGAAGGACAAGTGTTTTGGCTCTCATGTTCAATTAACCAGTCAAGGCAAAGACAAACTGAAGGCTTGTTTACAAAAGGCCTATAGAAACACGGTGTGCACAATTCTGGAAAAGAAAGAGCGAGAATGGAAAGAGGTAATATTTCTGTAAGTTATAACTGCCAATCAGAAAAAGGCCTGGTTTTTTCCCATGAAATACCCATGTAATTGGAGAATGGAAAGAGGTAATATTTCTGTAAGTTATAACTGCCAATCAGAAAAGGGATTTGAGAAGTCACTCAGGCCTGTTTTTTTCCCATGAAATACCCATGTAATTATGAAAAATAGGAAATTCAACATTTGTGTTATTGATAGGTATATTCTAAAGCTTAAAGGAGGCTAAATCTACCATTAACAAGTGAGAAGGAAAAGGATGCAGTTTTGACATCTTCAGTCTTTAAAGAAGAGAAGGTCAGATTAGGAATGTCATTTATGCAAAGGCTTGTAAATTAAGGAGATTAATTCACCTGCTTGAGGTTGGGAACCTGTTAAAGGCTCTTTGTAATGTCTTTGATGGGCTGTAATGACAGAACCCACCTCAGATTTTTGCATAGCTGTAAAATCCAGTTTGCAGTAGTGATTATGGATCATATTACGCTTTTTTTCCATCCTCTTTATACAAATAAAGATGAAAATATTTCATCTTTATACATTCAAAGATGAAAACCTTGCAGAACTAAAAATCCTTTTTGCAAATTGCCTGCAGTAGGTCAGTTTGTCAGTCAGCTCTGTTTTGGGAATAAAAGTCTTGCCTATTTTATTGTGCCTCTAGGAAATCTTTTTCTGTGTGCCTGCCCAAATGAGGAAAATGTCTTACCCTCTTCTAGAGGAGTTTGGGGCTGAGTCAAATTGTGTCCCAAAGCCCTTGTTTCTGTTGTTTTAGCAGATTCCTCTTCTTGCAGTGCTTAGGCTTGTAATAAGTTTTTTATTGTGGGGAGCATCCCACCGGAAATGCCATTGCTACCCAGCAGTTGTAGCTGGGGAATTATCTGAGAATAGGACAGAGAAAATTCTTGTTTTTCAAGAGAAGATGGCATGTTACCATGTCTTTAAGGTTAATGTATTTTTCTTCAGTAAATGGGTCTTAAAGGTTTTCATGTCACAAGTCATATCCACAATGATAAAGAGAATAATTTTTTCCTGTGCCTTATGCACCTTCTGCAGTGGAAATGAAATGTCTTTTGGTAAACTGCTTAATATGCCTTTGAATTTCAAAACATTGGTTGGCTTGGACCACCTTATCTAGTGAAGTCTTTTTAATTTCCTAGTAATGTCTTTTCTATTTAAAAGGTAAGTTATCCTCTGCAGTTCAAAGACAGGGTGTAGTTCTGCAATGTTAAGGGCTACTGACATTTCCAAATAATACTCAAGACATTCAGGCACTGCTGTTGCAATGAGTTATGCTAAATACAACTTCTATATCATAGAATAGATGTTTTCTTCACTATTGGACTTGTAATCTGTGGTTCTACTGCAGGTTTAAAGTACCTGTGTTAAAATTTCTAAAGCTACTTGGTGACCAGCATTGGTTGTGGTATAGAACACTTTTTTTGCTGTGTTGTGTTTTCAGGAAGTGTGTTTCAATTGCAGAAATATGAAGAGCTAGTGAGTAATGCAAATAAAGAATCGTACCCTTACCTACAACATGGTGCAGGAAACACTGGGGATGTGGCAAGACCCCCTGTGTGCAGTGTTGGACACCAAGCAGAGGCACAAAGGAGGCTGGGAAGACAGACACCCTTGCAGGAAGCTGGAACAGAAAAAGGTATTGGGTTTGATCTTAATGTGGCAGATTGTATATCATCAAATTGAGCTTGTTAGTAGCAGTCTTTAATGTTCAATGTCCTATTGATGACCCCAATGCAAAGTTAGTTAATTAGTAAATTAGATACAGGAAGATGTCAGTTCTTCTGACTTGTAACATTGTTTAATACTGCAAAAGCTAAGTTAAAGTCACAAACTGCAACAAATGGTACTGGTCTCCAGTTTACTGATTTAATGCTAGGCTTTGAGGTTTCATTTTATCTAGTGCTAGTAGTTTGCTGCTTTTTAAAGCCATTCTTCAGGAGGGAAGAAATAGCTGTCTCATCTGCTAGAGGTGTGTGCATTCTTTGGGGGTTGTTAGCAGCAAAACCTTTGGAGTATCTGACAGTTCACATGCAAGGCAGTGTTGGCCATGATATGCAGGGTATGGTCTAAACTATATTTGTAAATGGGTAACACTAGATTGGAGCTTCAAAAATTGAATTGTACTGCTTGCTCTTGGCATTACACAAGACAAGGAATTCTGCATTCATGTAAAAGATACTATTGTGTTGAGAACTTGCTTGACCTGGCATGGTAATCTTCTCTGATTCTTTTGGTCAAGAATGTGGCTAAAAAAAGTGTGAATCCCTGGGTGGTGTTTCTCTCTTTTTTTGTTTTTCCCCTTCTTCCCTTTCCCCCCACTTCCTGTGCCTAGTATGTTCTTTGGCATTGTAGCCCTTCCCAAGGCTGTCACGTGTACTATGGCAAAACTGGAGACAGTGTAGATGGGAAAAGCTTCATGGGAGGGACACATGTCCCTGGGGCTTTCTGTTTAGTTTGAGTTCTTACGCAACTGAAAAGTATAAAGCACCAAAACCCAAGAGAGTTTTTGGCTCTGTGCCTGTAGTGTGGCTTGAATTCCTTCAACACCAACACGAGGAGGTCTATTAAGACAGAACAATACCAGCACTGCAGTGCTCCTGTCTCTAGAGCGCCCTGGCCTGGCTGTGGGGAGCAGCCAGCGCTGGCCTGGAAGGAGCCCAGTCTTTGTGTATCCCTTAACCAGGCTCAGACATGAGTGAGGCTTTCCAGCTGGGACAGTTTCCTTCAGCTGACTTCAAAAGACCCTGCTTGAATGTTGTTATTTAAAAAAAAAAATACTAAAAGCATTTAACCTGCAAGACTTTTTGCTGACTGAAGAACTCAGATCATCACTGATGGAAGTGCATGGAGGCTGTGAGGGCTGTATGAGTTGATAGATGCTGCTGCACCTTCTGGAGCAGGGTACCAGCCTCTTGTGATTAGTTTAATTGGGCTAAAATATTACACACTTTCCTGTGAGAAGAGGACTAAGTAGAACACTGAAAATAGGTTGGGCTTGATTGGTTTTTTTTGGTTCCATGTTGATGTATAACTTTTAGCAATTACTGTTGCAAGTCAGAAATGTACAAAAAGGAACTTTGGGTCTCAGGAAGATTTGTGCTGCAAATGCTGCTGCCAGGAGCTTGAAAAAAGAGAGGCTGTGTGCCAGGACTTGAAAAGAGAGCTGGAGATGGCCCACAAACATCTTCAGCTTGCTGTGAAGGAATATGAAGCTAAGTCATAGCAAATCCAAGGTTAGGACTGTTAGTCACCTAAAGACAACTTTGATTCTCTCATCTGTAGGATCTTTCAGTTTTCAGTGGATACTGGGGTTTCGGTTATTAACCTCAAAACCAACAAAAAAACCCCTCACCACAAGTAATTGACAAAACCTACCAAGTTTTATCTTGTGTCTTTATATCTCAAAGGCACAGTTGCTAACCCACAAATTAATAATTATTTTTTCAATGTTTGTCAAAACCACCCTTATTTTATCCTGTCCTTCCTCTCCAAGTACAGTTGATTTTTCAGTTTAGTGTTAGTAATGGCATATGAAGGCTTTAAGCTTATTTAATTACTGTATGAGATGATTTTTATATTCAGACTTCATTGAAGTGTGTTGGGATTGATTCCTGTCTGCTTTTTACTGCAACAGCTGTACTGTAGCTAATGATGCTTTGTGACATTGAGGTCTTGTACCAGAGGCAGCAGTTATTACATAAGCATCTCTTGAATTTGAATTTAGAGAAATGTAGTGAATTATGGTTCAGCTTTTTTTTTTCTTTAATAGAAAATGAGATGGTTCCAGGAGCTCTAATTGCACAAAATTCTGAGATGAAGACTAAACTGAAGGACCAGGGATCACCACCAAGGTATTTACAAAACTAAACAAGATGATTTCTTATTTTGGGAAGATATAAGTTGCTTTTTTTGTGCAGTGTGATGTGTATGCATTTCAGGTCATTGCCAAGGGAAGGCATCTCAAAACCTTGTGCACCCTCTGACTCTGTGAAAGGTCTGGAAGAAATGCGTGCTCACTACATCAAAGCTTTGAGCAAGATTAAGTGTAAGTACTAAAGTCTTAGTTAAAGATTTAGTGGAGGAAAATAAATTACTTTGTTGCTTCTTCATTCAGCCAGCTTGGACAGGAATCTGACAACCAAATCACATGAGAAATAAATTTTTCCATCTTACTAGAGTGACTGTGAGAAATGGAATTGTCACCCTAAATTCAACATGCAATTGTGATGAGCAAAGCCTTGTTTTACCATCCTTCCTTTGTTGTACTGTAGTATGTCTTTTAAAGTGGCAAAGTGTATTTTGAGAACTGATCTTTCTTCTCCAGAAAAAAAATCTACCTAGTCTGCAGCATGTGCTGAGAGAAAATCTGCTTTTCTCTTGTGCTGCATCCTGCCTTCTGGCCTAGTCAGCAACCTTCTGTTTGAGGAGAACGAATTACGTGTAGCACCAGGTCTTACCTGACTGCAGCACGTCCCCAAATTTCTGCATGGCCATTGAAAAGTTTCTAGACCATATTTTTACCAGCCAACATTCCTCCCAAATCCCTGTGCCTGCTTAAGATGCAGAATGAGACAACTGAATTCCTTTCTGATGCTTCATACAGACCTGCTGTGGTTTGCCCTGACATTCATCCAGTAGGCAACAACTGGCACGAGGATTTGGTGGAATGTTGGCAGGTGAATCCATGTCTTGGCTGCCAGGTCTGCTAGACAATCCCAGTTTGTGGTGTTGGCTTCTTCCCCACTCTGGGGGAAAACTGGTACTAATGAAGTGTGTTTGTAGGTGATATGCTTTGTTATATCCGTGAAAGTAAGGAACGAGCTGCTGAGATGATTAAAGTGGAGGTTTTAAGAGAGCGCCAAGAGACAGCACGGAAAATGCGCAAATACTACTTGACATGCCTTCAACAGCTGCTCACTGATAATGGCAAACATGAAGGGTAAGTTCAAGTGTGTTTGGAAATGACTGTTGGCTGTGCAAGAGGTGTGTAGATCTCAGTCTGCTGTTTGTTCACCTTGGAGCAAGCAGTGCCTGGCCTGAAGCCTTGCCAGGGTGCGCGTGTTGGTGCCAGGTCACTGCTGAGCTGCCTGGCACACTGTCCTGTCAGAATTCTCTGACTCTCAGTAACATTGCCTTGAACTAAAATGTCCAGTTGAATTATCCTTAAACTTATTTTTGGTTTTGTTCTTTTTTTTTCCCCCATGCTCTGCAATTCTTGTCAGAGCTGAAAAGAAAATAATGGATGCTGCCAGTAAACTTGCTACGATGGCTAAAGGGCTGGAAACGCCTCTTCGGCACATTCCCCAGCGCAAATCTGCCTGCCCAGGTGAGCTGGATTCTGTGGTCCTGCTCTTCTTGAGCATACTGATTTAATGCATGTAGTAATGAAAATGCTTTTCTTCCAATATTAACATTCTCTTTAATTATCTATCTCTTTCCCTCCTCTCCTAGCTCTGCGTTTAAATTCTGATCCTGGAGGTGAGTGCTCCGAGAGAGATTGTGTGCTTCGGACTAGGTCACACCACATGGAAAGCAAATCATGTAGTGAAAGCAGTACTGAAAAAGCCACTGATAAAGTTGTCCAGAAGCGTGTTCCACGTGACTTGAGACAGCAGTTTGATGGAATGCAGACCAAAACTCAACATGTGCTTTGTGAAACAGTGACTTCAGATATTCGGAACAGGAATAATTCTCAAAATCTGGATGGTGCCTCTAGAGGTGTTCTACCAGAATGTTACCCGAATGAAGATGGAAGAAGAGAAAAATATGGCCCCATTGCAAATGTAGACAAAGGACCATTGTGTGCTGTGAGTAATGGTGATGCTCCTCCCTCTGCTGGTCAGGGAGCACTACAAAATATGCAAATACCCAGGGTTACAAATGGCCACAGCAGCTCTGGGCCTACTCATCATATGATTAAGAGCAAGAATGGAAGAACAGGCTTGGAAGAGGATAAATGTATCAAATCATGTGGAAAATGGAAAACTAAGTCTAAGAGAAGTCAAAAATTTGATTTTAAAGACCCTCCAGAAAGAGATGATGGAAGCAGTAGTGAATGGAGTTCTGGGAATGGAAGCATGTATCTGGATTGTGGTGAAATGCCTCTCTTGTATCCTCAACAAAAAGCCAATACTAATGTTCAAGCACAGACTGTGTACTGTGAAGAGTTTCCTCACATCAGGTCATTTTCTCCTGCAGATGAAAATGTTACTTCTCAGAGAGACATTTCTAGTGGCAGTGGCAAGACGCTCAGTACAAAAAGCAGCAGAAAAGTTTACAGTAGAGGCCAGCAGATAACAAACCCAGAGCATACTTCATTCCTCAACTCTTGACAAATCGAATTCAGCTGTCCCACAACTCAATGCAACATCAGATTCAAATGTAGGAAAATGCTGCAACAAATGCTTGGAGAATAATGGTGTGGGATGCCCAGTCTCAGCAAGATAGTGTTTTTTAATTAGCCCACTCTCTAACTTGAACCAATACCAGCAGTCCTTGTTTGAAGGAAAAAATTAACTTGATGTTTAAATAAAGTGTGATGATTCAGGAAAATCCTTTCTACTGTGTCCATTTCGTGATCAATGTTACATGAACAAACTTTATCAAGTTACTTGAAATATTACTGCAGAATTTTCTTTACCCTTGTAATAACACTTTCATAAATGTTTATAGTGTACTAGATACAAATTTATTAAATAGAATCTATTTTTATATTCAATATAGCGTGCAGTGTTTATCTAAAACCAAGCTACTGTAACTTGTGGTCATTTTTAAAATGGTTTTCAAAATTCCTTCAGAGCGTAATGAGAGATGTTTGAAGTTAGTATTTTAATTGACTTCCATTTTGAAAGACCTCCTATAACCCTCTGTTTGTGTTCCCACAACAAAAGCAAATATGCTTGCATTTTTTCATTAAATTATCATAACAAATAATGTTTCAATTATTCTTCCCTTTGATACAGCAAAAATAGCTCATACTGGGTGTAAGAAAGGTATCTTAAGTTAGAATTACCATATTCTGTAGGTGTTTCTTAATTACTGTGTTATCAGGGTGAACTGAAGATGTGGTACTTTGCCCTCCTGATGCTTAGAAATCTCCTATTTTAAAGACCTGCTCACTTTTTAAAGATTGCAAAAAATTGCAAAATGTATTTTTTTTCCTAGACTTTTTCCTTTCCTTCGGATGGCATTTCATTTCTGGTGCTCCTGTAAGAAGCAGAGGATTTTGCTGCTGGTTGCACAGGGGGTGATTAAATCACACTTGTTGCAATTAATAGTTATGGGCCAGCAATTCACAGCCACGGTAATATGGGAGTTCTAAGCAAAAAGGTTTTGCTTGCTATTGTTCTGTGACATTTGAAGAAGAAAGCCTGACTGTTCTCTCAAGGATGTTCTGTGTGCCTTTCATGTGTAACATTTAACTGCTTATTTGTGAAGGTTGCTTATTTGGTCTTTTGGATGTGAATATCACAGTTCAGTTTGACAATCTTTTGAGTTTTAATACTGAAAATAATACTGAATAATCTGAAGACAAATGTGCTTAACTTCCTTTACAACAATGTCCTGCATGTTTATATTCCAGGACAGCTGGCCAGGCAGAATGCATTTCAGCTCTTGGTACGCGGGCCTGGGCTGTGACTTGAGACTCTCACAGGCGCTTGTATGAGAGACTTCTGAATTTCTTGGTGGCTTTCATGTTGCCCATAAATCCAACCCCACTTCCTCTTTAGTGATGTGGGGTTTGTCATCATCAGTGGGAGCAAACTGAGGCCATGGGAGACCACTGGTGCCTAAACAAACATGGGCCGTGGTTAAGTTCAAGGGCCAAATTCCGAGCTCTTAGCTGAGGAAATAGCTGTGGCCTTGTCTGCAGAGGAAAGTTTTTACTAGTTGTCCTCTAAGCCCCAAGTGGAGGCTTTTTTCCTTTTTTTTTTTCCAATGAGTGGCTGTTTCTGGTTAGCTTAAACATTTTCCCAAGTTCCACAAGGTAAAAAAGAAGCATATTTATGTGCAAGATGTTTGAGTGTTTAAACCAATACATCCGATTGATTCAATCAATGGGCAAGTTCAGAAGCCGACCCAGCTTACAGATTTGATCTGTACAAGTAAACATCCATCAATCCAGGACATCCCTGGCCATTCAGACAGCAGCTGAGGGCCCATCACCTCATTGCTGTGGACCAAATGGAACTTTTCCAAATATTCCATCTGAGGTGGGTTCAAAAGCTTCTCTGTAGTTGCTCCCCCAAATGCCACGTTAGTGACAATGTGCAAACTGCTTTTAAAGTTCTAAGATTTAACTTTTTGTAACACGTTTCTGTTGTTTTGTTTGGTGTTGTGCATATAACTCTTACTGTGAATTTCCACGGCTTTTAACAAATTCCCTGTGTTTAAAAGCTCAGTGGTTTCAATGCAGAGTGAAGTATTTCCTGGTCCTACATATTAAATTTAGAAGCTGGGGCCACACTGATGAGGAGGGACCTTCCTGCTCTTGTCTTGCTGCTTCAGTTGTGTCATACTGAACAACTTCAGGGACCAAAACTGAAATGTGTGTGACAATGTAAAGGTAGGTAAAGAGTCGGTTAAATCCTTGCCCACCTAATGTTTACTGTGTGTCTTGTTGCAGTGACAACTCCAGAGATCTCCAGAGCTACCAAGGTGATTTTAAGTTATGCTTAATGCAAATCAGCAGTAGAGGCCAAGAGGCAAGATCTACCTCAAAATAGCAGCAATTATTCCCTGGTGAGTAAAGTTTAAGGTGCAAGATGATCCTTAGCCCAAGAATCAACAGCTCCTAGTCAAAAGTGTTCCTCAGCCCTCCTCCTTCCAATGTCAGTAGGAAAGAATGAAGCAATTAACAGAATAGCATAGGGGGTGGCAACTCCTGAAATTGGACAGCTGACACCAGTCAGCAAGGGGGATGTAATGTTGCAATATGTGTGCTTGGACTTGGGTAGCTGAGCCAAGATTGTAGTAGAGTCACTAAATGAATCTCTTAAAATAAGCCTGTCATATCACTAGGTTATATGGCTGAAAGAAACTACTTTATTCAAGAACTGCTTACCTGCTGTTACATGTTTTGGATTCAGATGATTCCTTTTTCAACACTGTGTTTATGCTGTAGGAGCCAGATCAAGTTTTATTCTAGTAACATTGCAACTTGGCATTATTTAACTTAAAGTTTCTTTAACAACATCCCCAAAGTAGCAGAATGCAGTGGTATTCTTCTCTTTGCTGTATTCTTTTTCAACACTGTGTTTATGCTGTAGGAGCCAGATCAAGTTTTATTCATTTAACATTGCAGCTTGGCACTATTTAACTTACAGTTTTTTTAACAACATCCCCAAAGAATGCAGTGGTATTCTTTTCTTTGCTGTATCTTTGTTCCCTATATTTTCTTTGGCTGATTTATCTTGCAATTGATAAATAGGAAAAAATTAGACCCAACAGTCTTGGTCCTACCATGCTTGAGAGTTTTTAGTCTGGTTCAGCCAGTTGTCCATTCTGCAGAATTTTTGCAATCTTTGCAAAATACTGTATCAGATGGTGAAAGCCTTTCAAGACTGCTATGATTAAATTCAAGTTCCCTAAGTATAATCTGTGGATATGCTAATGAGTTCTCTGGCTTGCTTGCATTCCCAGGTTTTACTTACCACCTTTGCAATATCATATCTCATTTGCCCCCTACCTCTTACTTTACTTTATAGGTGGAACTTTCTTCTGAGGTTTGAAGATCTATTTACTGCTGTATGATGTCCCCTTTCCCATAAAATCTCAAGCTGGGTACACTTCTCAGAAGTATTGAGATACCCAGTCACATATATATATATTTCAGTCATTCATCCTTAAAATTTGCTGTCAAAGCTATTCTTCTGCTGTTGGAACACTGTTCTCATGTTTCCCATTGTTCTGTGGGAGTTGCTAAGATTTCCCATTGAAATTTATTTTTCTCTTTTGTGCAGATTCACTGTGCAGTCCTGTCTCCCACAGTGTGGATGGCTTACAATGGAGACGATGGCAACCTGGCAGCAATACAGGAGCACATTACTTGCAGCTGTAGTGAGATTTCACCCAGCATTCTGATGCAGAGTGCTTTGCACTTCCAAATTAATCATGCTCCTCTCTGTTCTTGTTGCTTGGGTAAATATTTCACTCTTGTGTAGACTTTGATGGTGATCTGTGTGAGAACCAAGGTTCTTCATTTCCTTCCTGTACATGCTTACCTACCAAGCAAGCTTTTGAGCCCAATGCCTTTTTCACACTTGGTAAAATGAGTCTTTTTCCATCACGCAGCATTGCTTCTTTGTAAATCTGAATACAAGCAAAGAAATACAAGTCTATTGCCAAATGTTCTGGCTGAATGCCATCCCTGGTGTTCTGGCTTCATCCAGATGACGAATGTTCCCTGTCAGCCTGCAGCCTAGTGAGAGGGGACAATGGTACAGAAATACTGTAATTATCTAATCAACTTTGCTTAGAATGTTAAGCAAATGCAATTCTTTAATACTCTGGCTTTACTATAGCTGTTAATTACCATGTGCAAATGCAATTTGTACAGCAAAACCGAGTAGAGGAAACATTCACTTGTAAGTTACTTTACTCCCCTCTAGTGGTCTCACACCACACGTACGTTTATGTAACACTTCATCACCATACGTTTAAGGACAGTGTTAGTATTCTGTAAAAACCAAACGTCTCCTGTAACTTCTCCTTCCTTCTGCTCTTCTCTTTCTACAGAGAAACCTCTTCAGGGATTGGGGTTCTTGCCAGTGAAGCTCTCTAAGTGAATTTTTCTTTATATGTTGACTTTAATTGAAGGCCAAACTGTACCCCCAGCTTTAAAATCCGTATGTGCAGAAAAATCTCAAAGCTATGTAGTAAACCTTTATTTTCTGTGCCCGCAAAGTTCTTCCCAGGGGGTGTTGGTGTCAGTGACTTTGTCAGTGACTTAAACTGCAGCCAGGGCTGTAGAAACACCAGCAGAACCCAGTCCTAACAGCAGTGCTGCTCTGTGTGTGTTCTGTGGCACGTGCCAGGTTTTGGTGCGTGTCTAACAGTGTTTGGGCCTGTGGAAGCTGTGGGACACAAGGAGCCTGTCAGATGACTGGGTTCCTCCTTTAAACTTGCCAGTTGGCCATTTTGTGTACTATACAGCTTTCACGAGGTGGAAAACAGGCAAGAACCTACAGGATCAGAATGGAAACTTTTTATTTTCCTCTATTTCCCTGGTTCATTGCTCAAGTTACTGATGTTGTAATCCAGGTGTGCAGCACAAGCTACTTTTAGCAATGATGGTAATGGGTAAGTTCTGGTCTTTTTCTTTGCTTCTTGGAATCTGACTTGCTAATGTCCTTGGAGAAGATAGGGTAACTAATAAGAGACTTATCATCTGTTTCTGCTTAGGCAGAGGGTATAAAAAAAATGTAGATAGAGGATTCACTTTTCAGGAGTTAGTTGCTTTTTTCAATCTTCCCACTAGAAACATTTATATTTTCTTCTAGAATGCTTTGGACTAATATTTTGAAGAAAACAAAGGGGAATAAAGAGTATAGAGTATAGGGTCAATAAAGAAAATGTTGACAGTTTTCCATTTGAAAAAATACAGTTCTTCTAAAATACTTCACAGAATTGTGTTTGTCTTCATATTTACTTATGGGAGAAAAATGGAAACATTCCAAGAATGAAAACATTTTAACACTCTTTGACTGGAACCTTTTGTTTTAATATGAGTCTTGGTTTGTAAACTTTTGCAGCTCTAAAAAGTCAAAATTGAAACTAAACAGTTTGGAGATTCAAATCCGGCCTTTTTTCCCCACGTGATTTTTCTTTTGTGGAAAACTT